AGCAATAGGTACAACATTCCAGACTTGTTGTAACTAAACATGTCTTCATTAACAAGGCCATGCCATTACAATCAAGAGCATTACAATGAAAATGACTTGATAATGCAAAAAATAAAGGATATTACAATCAAGGCTCTATATCATCATCTGTATCCGAGTTACTATGACTATGAAATTCATCTTCATCATCACTAGGATCATTTGAATGTTGATCATTATCATCACAGATAAAATCATCTCTGTTTGGACCCTCTACATGTACACTTGTACTAGATTGCAGAACCACTTGACTTGGAATAATATCAGGTGCAATATCAGTCCTACGTAAAGTGTTGCTAATGGAATCTGCAATGCTGATTTGGACAATTTCAGTGGTCTCGTCCTGCTGGAACACATCATTCGGAATAGGCAATTCATTAGCATCGGGATCTACATCCTCAAGCTCCGGCACATTCCATATTCCTCGACATTGAAGTCGCTCTACAACTTTCCAATGTTCACCTAATTTGGTATCATTGACATAAAAAAACTTGTTGCACTTGACTTGGCAAGACAAATGGGTCATTTTGATACCAACAGCTTCTTATATCAATGGTTGTCAAATGTGTTTCAATGCGAAATGTTCTGTTGCTACCGGTGTTAAACCATTCGCATTGAAACAACACAACTTGATGCCCAAACATGTATGTCATTTCCCAAACTTTAGTCAACTGACCATAGAAATCGATTGACATACCGTGATGATCCCCTAGAACAAGCTGTGAGAATATATTCGTATATATTAGGCATGTTTGTGATGATTGTATTTCCTTTTTTGGTCTCATTCTTGTATTTCCTTTTTTGGTTAGTCGTTAGGGTTATATAAACTAGTCTTGATGTAATTGATATACAAGTTGAATATACAAATCATTCATAAATACTTACATGGTATCAGAGCTTGGTTTGAAACCCTAGCTTTCTGATTCGAAACCCTAGCCGTAGTGGGTTTGCTTCTCCTGGTTCATCTTTGTATTCGAAACCCTCTGCCTCTCGGTCTCTGTTCAATCGTGACCCCATCTGCTGCGTCTCTCTCTCTGGTTCGACTCTGGTCGATCGATTTCTGCCTCTGCACTTCGCGAGCCCTAGCACTGTCGTCGTCTTGTCTCCCTCGATGTTTGCCGACCACAGTATCTCTCCCTCTCAGTTGCTTCGCCATTGATTCGAATTAATTTGCGTTGGTATCTCTAATCACTGGTTGTCTATATTGATAACAAGTGCTCTGCTTATTACTCTTTTACCTCAAGGTTCTCTAGAAATTATAATCTGATCCCAAAGTTTCTTAGTTCTTTAGTTTCATCATGTCGGAGGATAAAATTCAAGCTATCAGCTACAGGCTCACTGGTGCCAACTATGGTTATTGGTCCACCATTATAAAGAATTTCTTATGGGTCGAAAAAAATGGGGTCATGTGTCTGGGTCTATACCGCGTCCTTCGGATCCAAAACAGGACAATTTTCTGGTTGCTTGTACATATGGGATTGTGACAATATCCAAATTCTGACTTGGTTTCATAATTCTGTGGAAGATCGCATTGGAATGATGTTCTCCAAATATCCTACTGCCAAAGAGGTGTGGGAGTACTTATTTGGCGTCTATTAGCAGTCCAACTTCGCCAAACGATATGAGTTGGAGTCCACTATTCAGAATGCTCGTCAGCAGGATAAATCTATTCAAGATTTTTATGTTGAGATGACGGGTCTCTGGGATCAACTTGCTCTTATGGAACCTCCTCGTCTTACAGCCCTCGATGCTTATGTGCAGTTTAGGGCGGAGGGTCGTTTGGTGCAATTCTTAACGGCTCTCTCTCCTCAGTACAAGGCTATCCGTGGTGGCATCCTTCACCGTTCTCCTCTCCCTTCTGTGGATGCTATTGTTCGTGAGCTTCTTTCCGAAGAAACCCGTCTCAAGATGGCCAGTCAGACCGTGTCTCCTTCAGTCTTCTTAGCACAGCTACCCCTATTGGTGACTCCATCTGCTACTTAGCCTCAGTCTTCTGCCAAGCCCAAAAAAAGGCCCTTAGCATCAGATAATGTGCTTTCTGCCATCAAAAGGGTTATTAGAAGTACAACTGTCCCAAGAAGAGCCATCAGTCTACTCAGCCGTCTCAGCCACAATTTCGAGGTCCTGTTCCGAGTACTTTTCGCCCTCCTGCTACTTATACTGCATCTGCTCCGACTTCTGATCCTGACTTGGCTTCCTTAAGTGCCCAGATTACCCAGCTTCAACATCTCTGGTCCACCTCTCAGTCATCTTCATCTGCCTCAGCTCTCACCTTTCTTCATTCAAGTTTGCTTGGGTCCTCTTCAGGTATTCCTTCCTCTGTCTGGCTTTTTGATTCTGGTGCTTCTCATCATATGACTCCTCACCTTTCTTTACTCCAAAACTGTATCCCCCCTCCCGTTCCTATTACTATTAATATTGCTAATAGGTCTGGTATGTCTGTCCTATCTATTGGGTCTGTTTTATCCTTTACCTTATCTGCTGTTACTATTCCCTCTATTCTTTATGTTCCTCAACTGTCTATTAGCTTGCTTTCTATCAGTCAGCTTGATACTTCTGATTTTGATGTTATCTTTTCTTCTTATGTCTGTTGTGTACAGGATCATGTGTCCAAAAAACAGATTTGGAACGGCCGTAGAGTTGGAGATCTCTATGTGGTGGAAAGCCTACATCTTCCTCTATCTACCTCTCCCATTGCACTTTCATCTTTTCAGTTAGATTTTCAATCGAGTCAGTTTTATTTATGGCAGTCTCGTTTAGGTCATTTGTCTGTTGACCGCTTGCGGTCTTTAGCTCAGTCAGGATTGTTAAGTAAAGTTTCTCCTAGTCAAATTAATGAGTGTCGAGGATGTAAACTTGCTAAAATGACAGCTTTACCTTTTAATAACAGTACTTCTATTTCTGCTTCCCCTTTTTCTATTGTCCATACTGATGTTTGGGGCCCTTCTCCTATTCTCACTAAGGGGGGTTCTGTGTACTATGTGTCCTTTGTTGATGATTGTACCCGCTATACCTGGGTTTATCTTATGGCTCATAAATCCGACTTCTACTAGATATATTGTACCATTCAGTCTATGATCACTACACAGTTTGGGGCCACAATTATTCCTACTTCTCCGTCTACGTCACCTCTGGCTCCTTCTTCTCCTTCGGCTGCTTCTTCCCCTCCGTTGTTGGTCTATTCTCATTGCAAAGCTCCCCCACCACCAGTTGTCTCTACTCCTGTTGCTGCTCGTTCTGCTTCTGACGACTCTGATCCTGCTGCACACCGTTATCCTTCTCGTGACCGTCGTCCTCCAAACAGGTTGGGTTGGTCTAATACATGTTTTTCTTCTTCCTATCGTACTTTTTTGTCTACTATTCACTCTTTTTCAGAACCTCAATCTTACAAGAAGGCCTGTCCGGATCCTCATTGGGTTCAAGCTATAAAGGATGAGTTGTCTGCTTTACAGAAAACTCGTACTTGAGAGTTGGTTCCTTTGCCTGCTGGTAAGAATCTGGTTGGTTGCAAATGGGTCTACAAAGTCAAGACTCATTCTGATGGTTCTCTTGAGCGCTACAAAGCTCATTTGGTTGCCAAAGGTTTCTCACAGGAGTATGGTATTGATTATGAGGAGACATTCGCTCCTGTTGCCAAGATGACTACTATCCATACTTTAATCTCTGTCGCTGCTGTTCGTTCTTGGCCACTTTGTCAGATGGATGTTAAGAATGCTTTTCTTAATGGCCATCTCACTGAGGAGGTTTACATGCGTTCTCCCCCTGGCCTTCACCATTCCTCTGGACAGGTTTGTCGCCTTTGGCGTGCTCTCTATAGTCTAAAGCAGTCTCCTTGTGCTTAGTATGATCGCTTTCAAGCTGCTGTTACCGAGCTTGGGTTTCATCCTTCTGCTTCCGACTCTGCTTTGTTTCTAAGCCATACCTCAGCTGGTTTTATTGCTCTCCTCCTCTATGTGGATGATATGATCATCACTAGCACTGACTCTTCTGCTATCTCTCAGGTCAAGCAACATCTCTTCTGCACCTTCAAAATGAAGGATCTGGGACTATTGTGGCATTTTCTTGGTATTGAAGTTGCTTCTTCTCCCAAGGGCAACTTTCTGTCTCAGGCCAAATATGCCAATGAGGTTATTCACCGTGCCAGTCTTATTGACACTAAGATTTCTGATACCCCCATTGAGCTTAATGTGAAGCTTAACATTACTGATGGTGTCCCCCTGGATGATCCTACTTTGTATCGCGAGCTTGTGGGCTGCTTAGTCTACCTGATAGTTACTCGCCCTGATCTTGCCTATGCTGTTCATGTGGTTAGCCAGTTCGTTTCTGCTTCCCGCTCTCCTCGTTGGGCTGTTTTGGTTTGGATTCTTCGCTATCTTCGCGGTACTATCTTCCAAGGCTGCTTGTTGTCTTCTACTTCTTCCTTGGATTTAGTGGCTTATGCTGATGCTGATTAGGCTGGTGATGTGACTGATTGTAAGTCCACTTCTGGTTTTTGTCTGTTTCTTGGTGATTCCTTGATTTCTTGGAAAAGCAAGAAACAAACTGTTGTTGCCCGTTCTACTGCCGAAGTTGAATACCGTGCTATGGCTCATGCTACTGCTGAGGTTGTCTGGCTTCATTGTCTCCTCTCTGACTTGGGCGTTCCTCCGTCCTCTCCGACCTCTCTCTACTATGACAACCGAAGTGCTATTCAAATTGCCCACAGCACTGTTTTCCGTGAACGAATGAAGCACATTGAGATTGATTGTCACTTCGTCCGTCAGCACCTACAGTCTAGCTCTATCTCGCTTCCTTGTCCCTTCGGCTCTCCAGCTTGCTGACTTCTTCACCAAGACTCACACCACTGCTCGTTTTCAGTTTCTTCTTGATAAACTCTCTGTGTTTTCAGCTAAAACACCTTAAGTTTGAGTGGGGGTGTGAGAATATATTCGTATATATTAGGCATTGTATATATTAGGCATGCTTGTGATGATTGTATTTCCTTTTTTTATCCCATTCTTGTATTTCCTTTTTTGGTTAGTCGTTAGGGTTATATAAACTAGTCTTGATGTAATTGATATACAAGTTGAATATACAAATCATTCAGAAATATTTACACAACCAACCTGCTATTTTGACTTTTGCGACAGTTGTCTCGCTCTTTCGTGTGGAATCGAATGCCATTACAAATACAACCCGAATAAATATTCACTATTGGACCAGGACCATTAGCTAATAACCACAACTCATTAATTGCTTCCGATGATCCTTGAGCTCGTAATTGATTTACCTACATGAACATGTGACAAGGATGCATGATGTTAATATCAATCTAGGAACAGTGAATTATGTTTATGATGTTTATTACATATTATCTATACATCTTACCCGCTCTTTGAACCACCTAGGAAATTTTTCTTGTTGTCGTCTTGTAATGTCATGTACATTTGCACTCTGTAACTGATTCTCGTGTTCTCTACTTTAAAAAAAAATGTGAATAATTAGTACTTGAGTGTGATCATAATGAAAAAGCATTTTGCATATACTTAACTAAATGAGAACATACTCTAGATATTCATCAATTTCAAGACTATTGTACAAGATAAACCAATGAGCCACTTTTCTTTAATTCTCAGACACGTCAACTACCCTTTCAATTAGCCCAAAAGTACAAACTTTTTGTGAAAAAACTGAATGCCCTAAGCCAACATCAGCACCATCTTCATTTCTTTCCTCTCTGTTAAATACGGTTTCAATCCCACCAAGATACATACAGCAAAAAGTAAGGCATTCTTTGACAATGTAAGCTTCTGCAATTGAACCTTCTAGGCAAGCTCGATTTGCTACATACCCTTTCAAAATCCTGAGTAATTTTCAACAAATAACAGGAAATTATTATATAAACCACATATATGGTACTATAATATTAAAAAATATAATTTCACAGTAAACGCATAAAAATACCTTTCGATAGGGTACATCCATCGATATTGCACTGGCCCTTCAAGAATGGCTTCGTGAGGCATGTGAATAGCTAAGTGAACCATCACATCAAAGAATGCAGGTGGAAAAAAAATTTCTAACTTGCAAAGTATGAGTACTATGCTCCCTTGTAATTTCTCCAAATCATTCACCCTCACTGTTTTTGAACATAACTGTTGAAAGTAATTTCCCAACTCAAACAATGCAATAGAATTGTCCTTGTTAAGATACCCACGCATTCCAATAGGAAGAAATCATTGTATAAGGACATGGCAATCATGCCTTTTCAAACCGGATAACTTGCCGCCCTTAGTGCTCACACACCTAGAGATGTTTGTTGCATATCCATCAGGATACCTAATCGATTTTAAGAACTGACAAAAACCTTGTCTTTCCTTTAGGGACAATGTGTACAATGCAATGGGCTTTTCAAAGGACCCATCCGCGCTCCTCTTTAAGTGCAAATCTTTCCTAATTTTCATATCCTCTAAATCCATGCGTGCTTTTTCCGTGTCCTTGTTTTTTCCATCAATGCTCAACAAAGTCCCAATCAAATTATCGCATATGTTCTTCTCTATGTGCATGACATCGAGGTTATGTCGTAACGTGAGTGTCTTCCAATAATGCAATTCAAAAAATATGCTTTTCTTTGTCCAATTCAGGACGGTATTTTCATCCCCTTTTCTTTTTTGGTTGCTTGGATGCTTCCCAAATGGTTTAAATGTTCCTGAATCCAATTGATCTAATATTTGTTCCCTTGCCAACTCAAAAGGTCTTGCTCGATCATCTGCCTTACCATTAAAGAGCTTACTTTTTCGCCAAGGATGGTCTTCAGGTAAGTATTGGCGAGCACCAGTGTATCCTATCTTCTTCTTAACCGTTGTGATAATGCATTCTCATTACAATTGGGACAAGCCAAACATCTCATTATTTATACGCTTTAGGCAAGCATAAAAATCTCACATTCCTTCCTATATTATTCAACTATAATAGTTATTGATTCCATTATGGTTGTTTTAGTATTCAATAAGCATAATATTGAATACCGCTGTTGCTGCCAAGAAAAGAAGAGAAATAGATTGAGAACCAACAAGAAGCTGCGGCTGCAGCATGAAGCTGCTGCTACAGCAAGTTGTTGCCACAATGCACAAAGAACCAACATGAAGCTGCTGGTGCCACAATGCTGCCACAAAGAGCAGGACAAAGAGCTGCCACAATGCACAAAGCTGCTACAGATTTTGTAATTTTTTTCTTAAGATAACAAACAAAATTTTGACCCATTGAAGGAATACAAAACAAAAGCAAAGGCGTACGTACACAGCTATGAATGCTACCCGACAACTTCTAACAGAGACTTAGACTTCTTCATGCTTCTCAACTTCTCCTCACCAAGTTCTCATCACCAAAAATAAAATTAAAATTCATTACAATTAAAAAAAAAATAGTTACCAAATTTAATTTTTTAAGAGCATTTTTTTATAGTTACCAAATTTAATTTTTTAAGAGCATTTTTTTCTAACATTTTATATAAAAAATAGAGAATTTATTTTTTTAAGGGATTTTTATTGATAAATCCATTTTGGAGTTGTTATAACCCATTAGGTCCACAAAAAAATATTATAACCTGATTAGTCCCATAAGCTTTTCTTTTTATTCCATAAGGTTCATTTTACTAATTTTATATTTATACGTGGACTATTATGCCCTTATATATATATATTGTGTTAATACACATAACACGTTGCCTTCTTTTTCGTTGATTCAGTTTTAGTAATTTCTATCTTCATCATCATTCTAATTCAGATGGATACGTTTCTATTTTGCATGCTCGTTCAAAGCCTTTGATGTGCTAAGGTTTCATTGTTGCTGTTGTAGTATGGTTCGGTGATTTTCGAGTGAAGACGACAAATTGGACGGTGTTCGGTTTTCACATTTTCTGGAGTACAACTAGTTCAAATCAGTTGTTTTTGAGTAACAGGACGATTGTAGGATTGCATGATTAAGGTTAGCATATTTTTTATTATGAATACATGTTCTGTTTATGTTTTGATTTGTATGATGGATCAGATGTTCTGTTTTTTTATTGATATGGATCGGATGCTCTGTTATTTGATTGATATGGATCGGATGCTCTGTTTTTTGATTGATGTGGATCGGAAGCTCTGTTTGTTCAATTATATGTATTTTACGTGGTCCTGTGGAGGGGAGGTCATTCAGATTATGTGAAGAATGTGGATGTTGTCATTTAACTTTGATGTTTGCGTAATGAGGGTCTATGTGGGTAATATAATTCAGAGTATATGTATCAATGTGAATATGCACATCTTGTTAATATTATGTGAAAAATGTGAATGTTCTCATTTTACTTTAATGTTATTTTACTTTAATGTTTGCGTAATGAGGCTCTGTGTGGGTGATATAATTCAGAGTATATGTGTCAATGTGAATGTGCACATCTTGTTAATATTATGTGAAGAATGTGGATGTTCTTATTTTACTTTGATGTTTGCTCAATGAGGCTCTGTGTGGGTGATATAATTCCGTGTATATGTATCAATGTGAATGTTCACATCTTGTTAATGTGAAGTTATGGAGGGTTGCTTGCATGTTGTGTACTGTCACCTTAATGTGGTGGTGTCATTTTCATATTGTTAAATGTTTTATGTTGTGTAAAAATAGTGGTGATAGTTTTCATTATGGATTTAACACTTGCACTGTACACATAGGCATCTAATTTTGCACAATGTGAATTTTCATATCGTTTTGGATTGCTGTTGATTCTTGTATTGTTGTGTTTTTACAGGAAATGGATACCTTTATGATGTTGGTGTGTACATATGGTTGCAGTACAACTGTAATAAATGTTGCCCGCGCATTGTGTTATTCGCGTTTGGTGGAGTGTTTGTGTGAAAAATAGGGTGAGTTGTCTGCTGGTTCTATTTTATTGTTCTGTCGGCTACCTGGCATTAATAAGTGTGATTTGGACAATGAGGAAGAATTTCAGAACATGTTATTGCTTGCTAAATCAATGGAGGTACAACATGTAGAAGTTGTCGTTGAGTTGAAAAGTGATATTGGTCAGTCGAGTAGCTCTGGGTCGCTGCGTGTGGGGGTTGAGGAAGAAATTGATGCACTACGGAAATTTTGCCACCATAAGGAGAAGGTGGTGTTGTCAGCCCCTTGGGCAAATGGTATTACGCATGTAGGACAACGGTTTGTTAGAGGTGCACAAAAATTTCGTGATGTTTTATGTAAGTATGCCATCCAATGTGGGTTTCAGTTTCCGTATGTCAAGAACGAGACAACAAGGGTTATTGTTGTGTGTGCGATGCGTGAGGAGAGAGGCTGCTTGTGGGCTATACATTGTAGAGCACAACGAGCAAATGGTTTTTTCTACATCAAAAGTTTTAGTGATGTGCATAGTTGTGGTACGGATGTCCAAACATCGAAGAATGCGCGAGTTAGTTCTGATTTGGTGTCCAGTACCATATCTGAAATTGTGAGGGACAAGCCGTTGACTCGGCCATGTGAGGTGGTGACTATTTTGAAGAGGGATTATGGGCTAGATGTGAGTTACCACGTGGTATGGTTGGGCGTGGAAAAAGCAAAGGTTGTTATTCATGGAGATCACTCATTATCATTTGACCAGTTGCGGTGGTATTCAGATGCTGTGATGCGTTACAATTCGGGGAGTTATGTCAATATTGACTATGATGCGAGTAGTCAACAGTTTTGTCGATTGTTTGTGTCATTCGCTCCGTGTATGTCTGGGTTCAATTCTTGTCGGCCTTTATTATTCCTAGATGGAACATTCCTCAAAGGAAAATACAAAGGTTACTTGCAGCAACGGCAAAAGATGGAAACAATGGTTAATACTTTTTTTAGCTGTCTATTCATGTAAATATTCACATTAAGCGGCATAGTGTGGACATATGACAGACGGTTACACAGTATGTTCCACATTTACATTGATGTCAATGTTTACATCAATACAAATTGATGTGAACAACATAATATGAGTGATTGAGAAATTAACAGTGTTGTGAACATTCACATTAGTATACACTGATGTGAATGTTCACGTCAGTGTCTACTAATGTGAGTTTATCCATTAATGGACATTAATGTGAATGTTCACATCATTAATGTTTACGAACCCAAATCCAAAAACAACAATAGTAACAGGACAATGTAGATATAAACATCCACATAACCTGTTTCCTTTATATTGTTTTCTATTCACTTTGGAATATTGTGAATAGTTGTTTAATGGTGTTGTGCTGTAGGTCTATTTCCTGTTGCATTTGCGATTGTTGATTCAGATACCACGGCCAATTGGTTGTGGTTCTTGCACGAACTTGGGAAGGTTGTTGATGGTAAGCGCCAGATTACTTCTATTTTGGATCGTAATCTTGGTCTGTTAGAAGCTATGCCAAAGGTGTTCCCATCGGCTCACTACGGTTATTGCTTACAACACTTGAAGAGCAATTTAAGAAACCGGATGAAAGAAATTGATAACGGATTTAGGGATCACCTAGTTAGTAGTTTGGGTGATTGTGCTTACGAGCCAACTGTAGTAGGGTTTCATGAAAAGCTTGTGAAATTAAAAGAGGAGAGTAAGCAACGAGCACATAATTTTTTCAAAGACTTGACACCGGAGCACTGAGGAAATTCATACTTTAGGTAATAGTAATTTCCTAATGTATTCCATTTGTCAAGTTTAGAATAGTAGCGATGTGAATTTTTAGTTATGTTTTGTGGCAATGTCAAATTTCATATTCAATTTCGAAGAAATTAAATTCCGTATTGTACAATGTTTGTGATGTTGTGCAGGGGCATGCGTTATGGGGAGATGACATCCAATGCGGCGGAGTCATTTAATAATTGGATTAAAGAAGCACGCAATCTTCCTATCACTCAAAAGGTGGACACAATTCGTACGCAGTTGATACGGCAAATGTCTGCACGGCATGACCAAGCAAACAAATGGAATGAGCTTATTTGTCTTACATTCGAAACAATGCTTATGGATTCGTTCAACGACAGCAGGTCTTGGCAAGTTAGCAAAGCCAATGAGGATGTGTTTGAAGTTCATTCGATACCATCTGTTACAGTTGATATTACAAGGCGTACATGTTCTTGCTTCAAATGACAAATCAATAGACTCCCATGTGACCATGCTGTGATTGCTATTCAGAAGAGCCGCTACAATCTCAATGATTGTGTGGAACATTACTTTCATGTAGAGACATATCGTGCAGCCTATTCGAGTGCTATATTCCCTATACCATCAATGAAAAAGCCGTCTTTTGATCCCACGGACTTCACTATATACCCGCCAACTGTGAAAAGACCACCTGGAAGACCGAAAAGGAATAGAATCTCATCAAGGGGTGAGAAACTGAAGCAAATAAGGTGAGGGAGATGTGATAAGTTGGGAAGCCATAATCGGAAATCATGCAAGGAGCCGATATAGGATGTACATTTTTCATTTCAACATTGTGTTTTACATTGAATTCTTATATTGATTTTCCAAATAAGGTTGTGTTGTGTTGGCAAACATTGTGTTGCAATAAGATTACTTTGTGTTGGCAAGTAGAATAATGGTTTAGCAAACTTAGTATTTGATTTGTGTTTTTTCTTTTTCTTTTTGGGTACGAAACTGATATTTTGTTAAAGTTTTAATGATGAATACATGATGTGGATATTCACACTTTCGTAAAAGAATCATATGATGTGAAAAGTCGCACATGGGCTGAACTTTTTTACATTATTGTTGTCAATGTTGACATAAATATAAACTGTAATGTGAACTTTCACATGCATAGAGATTGACATGGTGTGAACATTCACAACTGTTATGAATAAGAACAAATGTGAATATTCACACGTGTATGTCATCCGTAATGATGTCATGTAGACAATATGTACATTCCTACACAAAATATATGTATTACAGAAAAATCGAGTTCAAAAAATCGCATAAATTACGCTCATCACAACGCAGCAGTATGAATATCATAAGTGAATATGAACATTCACATCAATGGTACAACTGTGAACATTCACATCTGTAAAACAATAGTGCATATGAATATCATAAGTAAATGTTCACATTTGGCAGCGAAGAATAACATTCACAACTGTTATGAATAAGAACAAATGTGAATATTCACACGTGTATGTTATCCGTAATGATGTCATATAGACATTCCTACAGAAAATATGTGTACTATAGAACAATCGGGTTTAAATAATCGCACAAATTATGCTCATCACAACACAACAGTATGAATATCATAAGCGAATATGAACATTCACATCAGTGTTGCAACTGTAAACATTCACATCTGTAAAACATTAGTGCATATGAATATCATAAGTGAATGTTCACATTTGGCAGAGAAGAATAACATTCACAACTGTTATGAATAAGAATAAGAATAAATGTAAATATTCACACATGTGTATGTGATCCCTAATGATGTCATGTAGACAAAGTATACATTCCTGCACAAAATATGTGTATTATAGAACAATCGGGTTCAAACAATCGTATAAATTACACTCATAACAACACAGCAGTGTGAATATCATAAGTGAATATGAACATTCACATCAGTGGTGCAACTGTGAACATTCACATCTGTAAAACATAACAACACCAAAGGTAGATCAAAATTCACAGGTGGCTTTTTTCCATTAATAGATGTTGTATCATTGTTTTACAATCAGTTGTTGTGTCGAAATGTCAAAGCAATTGATATTAACATTCATATCGAGTGTTGGTTAGTTTGTAGGTGGACACCCCCCGCCTATAGGTTTTAATGACACTCTGATTTCTTATGATTCAAAAAACTATGTACTAACAAATCTCGTAGTCCACACCATTCAGAACTAGTGAGGTTGCCCACAATTTCTTCATGGTATATGTGCGCCCGCATGATGTAACATATTGCATGTCCACGGCCCACTCTGTAAATGCAAAATGGTTTTAATTAGCAGTTGACATGTATGTTTGCATAATGGTTATGGAGGATTTGTAAAAAATGTAGTGAGGCTTACGAGTCGTCGCCCTGCCGAGGACAGACATCAACTGATATGATTGGTTGTGACGGGTTTTGGCCTGCTAACTTAGTGCATAACGGTGATGACTCGCCAATAACACGCACAACGTTCTCGATGTACTTCCTCTGTGTCGGGAATTTCAAATTAGGCACCAACAAGCATATATGTGTGTGTACATTCATTTAACGCATGACAACAAGTCATATTTGTGTACAAAAAGAGCCACTTACAACTTCCTGTGCTTGGTCGATATGCGGGTCATGTATGCCTGTCCTTGGGCGCAATGAGTTGTAATGCCTTCACAAATTGTCTTTAGCATCGTACACAACTATCGACCAGTGGAAGTCATGGCGCAATGGGAATAGTAGGTATTTCTCTCCTTAGTAGTTTTTGACATGTGCATCAATGTGTTTACTCATTTTGCGAGGATGGTACTCTCGTATCACTTTCTGTACACATTGGACAAATAATTAATGGACTGTGAAGTTTCACATTCACATTAGAAAAAATGGATTGATAGATTTTACCAAACACATGCTCGTGAAGATGAATGACGCTTCATCTGAAGTTGGGTTGACCACCTCTTATTCATGTAATAGTTCGGCATATGCATCTATGAGTTGCACAAACATAGGGTCATATTATATTATTTGTGGTGGGTGAACAATGTGTGTCTGTGGCTGTAGGTGTGTGTGTGTGTCTCTGTGTATATGCATGAATAGTGAATCATCTTCGTAATGGCATACATTACTGTGTATCGATTCCTCCTTGATAAGGTTGACAATGTCATCAAAATACACGTGTAGACTTCGAGTCTCCTTTCCACACAAGCAGCCTGTGCATTTTAAACAAACCAATGTGAATATTAACATTGCACAGTTTTGAACAAATCAAATAAATAAGCACAGTGTGAATAATGACAATTATGGAATGTGAATGTTGACATTAGGTGTTTGTACAGTCACTTACTCATCGTCTCCACTCTTTTGTAAAGCCTGGACCTTTTGCTTGTCTTGTTTGGACATCTCGCTCCAGACTCTGAACTTGTTGGTCAAGGTTAATTTTTTTGGGTGCTTCGCTGGTGGGTGTTTGTCCACATCTTCAACCATTTCGACTATATGGAGCTGTTTTTGGCCAGGTAAGTTTGGGTACTGGAAGTCAGGCAAGTGATGTTCTTTCCGATCTTTTTCCTTTATACGCTTCACCCTAGAAGGTGGGCTGAGATTGTATTGCATTGGGCTAGGGGGTTGTTTCTGTGCCTCAGCCTGTGTGACAATGTGGACTGACTGGTCATCGTGAAGGTCCTGAAGAATTGTTTTCTCGCATTCTAAGTCGATGACCAGCTGCGTTAAGCGCTTAATTTCTTCATCTTTCTGCTCCATGCACTTTTTTACTTCGGTATTCATGTTGGGTGGGCTTGACTGGTTGAACAATTTATGTTCAAGATTAGCTATGACTCTTGCCCTTAACTCCCATGAGAATTGAAGGTGTTTGTACTTTGCTTCCCATTGCCTTATGACGCTCCAAGCCTTCCAATTTTCTTTGATAAGCACATCAATGAAATCAAGTTGGTTTGTGTTTGCTATGAGAATAGCTCTCTCATCATGTGGGCTGGTAAACAGAATATGAATGTCCGCATTACTGTCCTTTAGCTCAACTCCATCCCCAGAAAATTGGAAGTCGCTGCCATTGTGTTGTTCTTCCTTGATGTCAGATAGGTTGGGAGATGTTGCGGCTGGTTCGTAAATTTCGGCCTCCACCTTCAATGTTGTACGCCTGAACTTTTGTAATTCTGTTGGTGTTGCAAAGAGTTCGCCGGCATTAACCTAAAATGAAAAAGCTATGTTACTTAACGTATATATTTGGGTGGTGTCATAATGTAAATGTTTTGATCAATAGTTGAAGGCCCTACCTTATTAAAACCAATATCAGCCAAAGAGGTGGTTTTCATCTTCTTTTGTAAAGTAGTCAAATCCCACTCGACACAGTGAGGAAATGCATTGGGCTTGTGAGGTTGTGGGATGGTTGTGTGCTCAGACAACCAATACTTCAATAAAACAACAAAGACATATGTTATTTAGCATTTGCATAGTACTGTCAACACATGTGAACATTAATAACAGTGGCACTATTGTGAACATTCACAGTATTATATCATGAGTGAATATGAACATTCACATCAGTGGTACAGATGTGAACATTCACATCTGTGAAACATAAGTGCATATGGACATTCACATCAGTGGTACAGATGTGAATGTTCACAATTGGCTTCGATGAACAACACTGAAGGACGTGTGAATGTTATTATTTGACAACATGGGTACTTACCATCAATAACATGACACAGCCGATGACTTTTGCTGGCTTTTTGTCGTTTTGGGAAATGGAGGATGTCAGCGTTGTTCTAATTTAATTGGCCCAATCATATTCTTGCATGCTTTCCAATGGGACCATATGTGCGTAGTAGCCCTATCCTATCGTCTCACCGCTTGTTGAGAAAAAAAAATTTTGGCAAGCATCATGTAGACTAGTCGGGGCGACTTCTTCGTTGTTATCTTTCTTTTTGCCTTTCAATGCCTCAGTCAAAAGGGTGCATATCCATTTTGAAGTCAACCGGCTGACATTTTTGCACCTTTTGTTTATAATGCCAGTCTTTGATTTCGCACCATATGATATGTCCATCGGCTTGATGCCACAATCCACACCAAAAATCAACTTGATGTCGTTGTCGTGTATGTTCATCTTCTTCTCCCCAATGTAGAAGGCATCTTTTGAAGCTTTGTACATTTGTAGAACATACACAACAACATCATCGTACTTCATGCATTTGTCAAGGTCGATCTCACTGTTTCTCAATGCATCTAACAAATGCCAAAAAGGTGTTTGTTGCAGGCAGCCAAGTTGTGCTTGTGTGAATTTGGTGCTTTTCATTAATTTCACCAGTCCGGTCATGTTAGATCTGTAGTTCGCACGCCGCATGTCAACATTGCTGCTAGTATTTGCTTGTGGACTTTCATCCTTGACATGGTACTCGTCTCTTTTTCTCTTTAAGGTTTTCTTCTGTGCAAGATCTGCAAAATGGAACATTTAAAAAAAATTAAGTCAAGGCTCATGTGATTAGCATAGTGGAACAGATGTGAACATTCACAGCATTGCCACTGATGTGCATGTTCACAGTTGTGTGCATGGGTGTGAATGACCACAGTTCGTGTATGGATGTGAATATCCACATCTGTACATGGATGTGTATGTTGACTATGTCAGCACAAACACAATGTACATATTGTGTGAGTGTAAAAATCAATGTATTTTTATACAACCATGAACAACATTCAAGAACATGTGGATGTTAATACAAACATATAAAAGGATGTTGTGAAAATTTACAGTCCTAATTTGTATGGCAATGCACATTCTTACTACAATCATGCAATGCCAATCTTATAAAACAACCTCAAAATTGAAATACAATTTGAAACATAGGATAACAAAAGTGATATATTTCCTCTAAACACATTGGTTAATATTCACAAAGTGTCTAATTAATTTACACATGTAATGAATGTTCACAACATAATTATGTATCACAACAACATCTAACACAAAGAACTTTAAATGTGAATATTCACTACGGTTAATAACAACAATTTGATAGAGGGGGGGAAGGATAGTGTCAATATTTGCAGGGACTGTATTTCATGCCACTTTCATGTAAAATAATCAAGAATTGAAGGTTCAACTTATTGGATCACCATTAACAATCAACAATACCAACAAGGCAAACATTCACAAAAGGGGAAAAAAATCTACAATATTACAAAATAATTATTGGCCAAACATTTTCAATCCATTTGAATGTTCACAGCATTGAACAACACCACCAATAATATATGGAATAATTTGATTATCCAAACATTTTCAATCAATGTGAATGTTCACTGCTTTCAACAATAACAACAGAATTGACCAAACATTTTCAATCCATGTGATTGTTAACAGCATTGAACAACAACAACAATAATATTTGGAATAATTTGATTATCCAAACATTTTCAATCAATGTGAATGTTCACAGCTTTCAACAACAACAACAACAACAACAACAACAACAACAATAGAAACAATTTGGTTTGGCCAACATCGTTCCAAACCATTTGAATGTTCACAGTTGTGAACACAACATAATGGCAACTGTAATGTTTTTGACTGAAAAAATCAATATAATTAGGGATTACGATTGAGGGGTTCAGATTAAAGGTTAGGGTATGAACAATATGGACTCCTATATATTGTATGAATAGAAACAGGGGATATTTGTGAAAGTTCATAAAATGGAACATTTAAAAAAAATTAAGTCAAGGCTCATGTGATTAGCATAGTGGAACAGATGTGAACATTCACAGCATTGCCACTGATGTGCATGTTCACAGTTGTGTGCATGGGTGTGAATGACCACAGTTCGTGTATGGATGTGAATATCCACATCTGTACATGGATGTGTATGTTGACTATGTCAGCACAAACACAATGTACATATTGTGTGAGTGTAAAAATCAATGTATTTTTATACAACCATGAACAACATTCAAGAACATGTGGATGTTAATACAAACATATAAAAGGATGTTGTGAAAATTTACAGTCCTAATTTGTATGGCAATGCACATTCTTACTACAATCATGCAATGCCAATCTTATAAAACAACCTCAAAATTGAAATACAATTTGAAACATAGGATAACAAAAGTGATATATTTCCTCTAAACACACTGGTTAATATTCACAAAGTGTCTAATTAATTTACACATGTAATGAATGTTCACAACATAATTATGTATCACAACAACATCTAACACAAAGAACTTTAAATGTGAATGTTCACTACGGTTAATAACAACAATTTGATAGAGAGGGGGAAGGATAGTGTCAATATTTGCAGGGACTGTATTTCATGCCACTTTCATGTAAAATAATCAAGAATTGAAGGTTCAACTTATTGGATCACCATTAACAATCAACAATACCAACAAGGCAAACATTCACAAAAGGGGAAAAAAATCTACAATATTACAAAATAATTATTGGCCAAACATTTTCAATCCATTTGAATGTTCACAGCATTGAACAACAACACCAATAATATATGGAATAATTTGATTATCCAAACATTTTCAATCAATGTGAATGTTCACTGCTTTCAACAACAACAACAACAACAGAATTGACCAAACATTTTCAATCCATGTGATTGTTAACAGCATTGAACAATAACACCAATAATATTTGGAATAATTTGATTATCCAAACATTTTCAATCAATATGACAGCTTTCAACAACAACAACAACAACAACAACAACAACAACAGAAACAATTTGGTTTGGCTAACATCGTTCCAAACCATTTGAATGTTCACAGTCGTGAACACAACATAATGGCAACTGTAATGTTTTTGACTAAAAAAATCAATATAATTAGGGATTACGATTGAGGGGTTCAGATTTAAAGGTTAGGGTATGAACAATATGGACTCCTATATATTGTATGAATAGAAACAGGGGATATTTGTGAAAGTTCATAATGTTGTTTGTTGAAAAAGAGATTTAGGGTTTAAATACACGAATGAGTAGAATGCTTACATTTTTTGCCCATTTCGACGGTTGCGTTGTCACAAATAGTCGTCGAAGGTGATTTTGACGAAAATAGACCTTACGGATGTTCAACAATGGTGATTCCACGATTTCGGCGACTGACGGCGTAGGGACGACGAAGAAGATGATGAGACGATGCGACGATGGAACAAAGACAACCTTCTGGGCGTTGAGACGATATGGAATACGGATTTGGATTTCTGGAATGGTAGAGATACTGTGCGTGATTTCCTGCGCAAGAATAGAGGGGAAGAGAGACGATTATTAGATTCAAAGACACATAGGCGCATGTTTGTTGGAGGCTTTTTTTGGTCTTTTGGTATGAAATGGACCTAATGGAATATTATAAAACACTATGGGTCTTATGGAATAACACTCTTAGATAATGGACTTACTGAAAACACACCCTTTCTATAAACACAATTCTTATTTATTTTTTCAAAAACAAACACAATAAAATAAAATTATGATTATTAAATCGACTTAAATTTTAAACTATCAAAATGAGAGTAATGATAGTCTCATGAACCTGCACAATTCTCTCAAATTCAAATCGTACTTATGCTTGACAATAATAGAGAAATACAAGTGCACACAAAGGAAGACAGCGGACACTAATGTATGGATATTAGTCTATCTATATATATTTGAAAAACTAATAGTAAAGTTGCTTCCACGCGTTGACATAGTTCAAGAATCCGAAAAATGTTTTCCGCAGCTAAAATAATCTGAGAAATATACAATGAAAGAGGCTCAATTGCAAGTAGATAAATTTGAACAATTGACCCTCTAGTGAAATACAAAAGTTTTAGTTAAATGTAGCCTGGCAAGTTGACACATGAATGGATAAAATAAAATAAAAATTAAAAATGGCAATATCATTTTATGTCCAGTTAATTTTTTCTACATATACACATCAATAAGTTTAACATGTGTCACAATTGTTAATTTTAACATCCAACTTGAACAAAAACATCAAATTAAAACTAAAATTAAAGTGCAAGGACTATAAATGTTCAATTTGAAATAATAGGAATCAAATAAAATTTAGATCAAACTACAATGGTTAAAACCATAATTTACCCAACAACCCACCAATCCTACCTAAATGAAAAAGGAGTTTTTGAGTATAGTAATTGCAGATGATCAAAGGAGTTCTTTTTTTCTTTAATACATTACCAAACAAACACTATCAGCAAATCTGAAGGCATAACACAGAAAAGATTACCCCATTAACAATCACAGTTCCAATCAAATAACATCAAATTGAACCCTTTAACATCAAATAACATCAAATTCAACCCTAAAAATAGAAATGAGGGTAGTGAGTAAATGGTTGTATCATAGAGGGGGAAAATAAATCTGATAGACAGTGGGCGATGGAAGAGGCAGCAAAACAGGACTGATTAGAGGGGTCTAAAAAAAAAAGCGTTGTATTTTGAGAGAGAGAAAGAGAGACAGACTGACTGACTGACCGAGCAAGTGAGCCGAATATGAAGAGGCAACAAAACAGGGGATGAAGTGAACGGAGATGGTGGCTAGGGTTTCGATGAACCGATTGGAAGTGTAGAGAGTGAGGAGTTATAGGATAGTAACCAATCTGACATGGGGAGTTGAAGGAGGGCAACGATGAAAAAGGAAGGTCAATCGATAATATATATATACACGAAAAGAGAGAGAGAGAGAGAGAGAGAGAGAGACTAACCTGGTGGAGGCGAAGATGAAGAGCAGCAAAAACAGGGACGAAGTGAGGAGATGGTGGCTAGGGTTTGATGAACCGATCGGAAGTGTAGAGAGTGATAGAGAGGAAATGTGTTTTTGATTAAGGAAAGAGGGCAACAATGAAGGAAGCTGAAGGCTAAGGTGTTTTTGATTTCAGAATTTCCAAACTATTTTTAGTTTTGTTATACACAGTATTCCTTTTTCCTTTTTGTGACCACAATCTACTGGTCACCAAAAGGCTTAACGTCCCACCTTTTTTTTTTCGCTCCCCCGCCATTACTTTCTACAATCACATTTTGTATTTGGTCGCAAATACTTACCTATTAGCTACCAAAAAAATGTTGGTCGCGAAACACACAATCATCGGTGACCAAAAATAAATGTTGGTCGCAGATTAGTATACTTTTTGCGATCACCTCAAAAAAGGTGATCGCCAAAGGTGTTTTTTCTTGTAGTGAAAATTTTGATGAGGCACTTGGAGGGCCGAAATTAGAGAGCTTTATTTTGGTGGAGAGCCAAAGAATCTGAGAGTACTTCAAAAATTAATAATAAAATATTAGAGAGCTATGAAATTGGAGAACTCTTTAAAAATAAAAATAATAAAATATTGGAGAGGTATGAAATTGGAGTGCTCTAAAAATAATAATAAAATATTAGAGGGTTATAAACTGGGGAGCTCTATGAATAATAAGAGAGCTATGAAATTAGAGAGCTCTAAGAATACTAGGAGAGCTGTGACTTGGAGAGCTCTAGAAATAATAATAAAATATTAGAGAGCTATAAATTGAAGAGCTCTAAGAATAATAAGAGAGCTATGAAATTGGAGAGCTATGAAAATACTAGGAGAGCTGTGACTTTACAGCGCTCTAACAATAATAATAAAATATTGGAGAGTTTTAAAATTGGAAAACTCTAATAATAATAATTGGAGAGCTATGAGTTGGAGAGCTCTAAGAATAATAACAGAGCTATGAAATACTAGGAGAGCTGTGACCTTAGAGAGCTCTAACAATAATAATATAATATTAAAGAGTTACAAAATTGGAGCTCTAAAAATAATAATAAAATATTGGAGAGCTATGAGTTGGAGAGCTCTAAGAATAATAACAGAGCTATGAAATTGGAGAGTTATGAAAATACTAGGAGAGCTGTGACCTTAGAGAGCTCTAACAATAATAATATAATATTAAAGAGTTACAAAATTGGAGCTCTAAAAATAATAAAAAAATATTGGAGGGCTATGAGTTGGAGAGCTCTAAGAATAATAAGAGAGTTATGAAAATAATAGGAGAGTTGTGACCTTAGAGAGCTCTAACAATAACAATAAAATATTAGAGAGTTATAAAATTGAAGAGCTCTGAAAAGTAATAATAGAATATTGGAGAACTATAAAATTGGAGAGTTTTAAAAATTAATAATAAAATATTAGAGAGCAATGAAATTGGAAAACTCTTCAAAAATAACAATATATTGGAGAGGTATGAAATTGGAGAACTCTAAAAATAATAATAAAATATTAGGGGGTTATAAATTGGGGAGCTCTACAAATAATAAGAGAGCTATGAAATTGGAGAGCTCTAAGAATACTAGGAGAGCTGTGACTTGGAGAGCTCTAGAAATAATGATAAAATATTGGAGAGCTATGAAATTGGAGAACTCTAAGAATAATAATAAAATAATAGAGAATTAGGAAATTGGAGAGCTCTAAGGATTAATAGTAAAATATTGGAGAGCTATCACCATGTGAACTCACTTCGGACACTTAGCAAGTTTTAAAAGAAAATTGGGAGCCAACTCTATTAAAGAGGAGCTCTATGTGAGAGAGCTATGAAATTGAAGAACTCTAAGAATTAATAATAAAATATTGGAGAGCTCTAAAAATAATAACAAAATATTAGAGAGTCATGAAATTCGAGAGCTCTAAGAATAATAACTATGAAATTGGAGAGTTACAAGAATAATAATAAAATATTAGAGAGCTCTAAGAATAATAATAAAGTATTAGAGAGCTAGGAAATTAGAGAGCTCTAAGGATTAATAGTAAAATATTGGAGAGCTATCACCATATGAACTCCAGCTCTTTTGCTGACTTCAGACGCTTAGCAAGTTTTATAAAAAAACTGGGAGCCAGCTCCATTAAAGGAGAGCTCTATATGGGACAGTTATGAAATTGAAGTGCCCTAACAATTAATAATAAAATATTGGAGAGCTATGAAATTGGAGAGCTCTAAAAATAATAATAAAATATTAGAGAGTTATGAAATTGGAGATCTCTAAGAATAATGATAAAATATTGGAGAGCTATGAAATTAGAGAGTTCTAAAAATAATAATAAAATATTGGAGAGCTATAAAATTGGAGAGCTGTAAAAATATTAGAGAGCTATGAAATTGGAGAGTTCTAAGAATAATAATAAAATATTACAGAGCTGTAACCATGTGAACTCCAGCTAATTCGGACACTTAGCAAGTTTTATGGGAAAATTGGGTGCCAACTCTAGAGCTCTACTTTGTGGGAGAGCTATGAAATTGAAGAGCTCTAAGAATTAATAATAAAATATTGGAGAGCTATGAAATTGGAGAGCTCTAAGAATTAATAATAAAATATTGGCGAGTTATGAAAATGAAAAGCTCTTAAAAATAATAATAAAATATTAGAGAGCTCTGCCATTGGAGAGCTCTCACATGTGGTCTGTCGCCACATGTGGTCTGTCGCCCAAGCTCTACTAGAGAGAGCTCTTCTTTGTCGACCTCTAATATCTTGGAGAGCCACAATTGGAGAGCTCTAAAAATAAATGATAATATATTTGGAGCTATCATCATGTAGAGAGCCGAAAAATAATAATATATTTAGAACTATACACATTGGTGAGCCAAGAGATTGGAGAGCTCTACTTTGGCAAGCCAAGAATTAGGTGCCAGCTGGAGTTCTTCATTGGTAATCTTGGAGAGCCATGAAATTGGAGGGCTCTACTTTGAGAGCCAAGGAATTGGAGAACTCTACCTTTCTACTTCACCGTTTTGGAGACTCAACCAAATTTTGATGAGAAAATTAGGAGCCAGCTTTACTAAGAAGAGCTCTACTTGGTTGGCCTCCGCCATCGTGGAGAGCCAACAAATTTGAGAGCTCTACTTTGTTGGAGAGCTAGGAATTAAGAGCCAACTCTTCCAAGGAGAGCTCTACTTCATTGGTCTCCTCTGGAGAGCTAGGAAATTGGTGAGCCCAAAACTTAATAAAAGTATATTTGGAGCTATCACCACATGGGCTCCACTTTTTGTTGGTTTCACTGCTTTGGGTACTTAGTCATATTTGATGATGAGAAAATTAGGAGCAAGCTCTACTGAGGAGAACTCTACTTCATTGGTCTCCGCCATCTTGGAGTGCCAAGAAATTAGAGAGCTCTATTTCATCGGAGACTTTGCTGAAAAAATTTGATGGGCCTGAAAAATTGATAAAAATGTATTGGAGATAATTGTACCAAGGCGAGCTTTACCACCTTAGAGTTGGCTCTACCTAGTAGAGCTATATTTACCAGCTAGCTCTACCAATGAGAGCTGGACCATTACATGGGCTCTACTTTTGTTGGCTCTACTCCTTTGGAAACTTAGCCAAAAATTGATGAAAATATTTGGAGCTAGCTCTATCAAAGAGAGCTGAGCTATACTTCATTGGGCTCTCCAACCAGTGGGTTCTTCTTCAAGAAAGATAGTTGTTACTGAGCATGGCATGGTGCGTTTCAGGAACTCTATCTTGGTTAATTCTTCTGAGAACTCTACCTTAGAAGTCAAGGTAGCGAAGGCACCTGGGTGTCGATTGTTGGAGCGAGGAGCGAGGAGCATGCTCTATCCTTATTGTGTCGAATTCGTTTGTTAGCTTGCAGACGATGGTTTTATATGAAGCCAAGAGGGCTCTTTGATAGCATAGCCTCCATTGGTCTGCTTGACCACTAGATTAGAGTCGCCTTTCATACATAGGAGACTTACTCCTAGATGGAGTGCTGCCATAAGCCCCAATATCGGGGCTTCATACTCTGCCTCGTTATTGGGGCATCTAAACTCTAGTTTGTATGACAAATTGACTTAAGTTTTATTTGGAGGACTATTCCAACTCCTCCTCCTTTGGAAGTAGATGATTCGTCGAAGCTCAAGCTCCATTCTCCTTCGGTATTCACTTCAGCAGCTTGGAATTCATCACTTCGAAGTTCATTTGAGGGCGGCCCATGTTTCCGCCTAGTAAATGAGCCAGGAGGTCAGCCAAAGCTTGGCTCGTGATGGCCTTAGGGGCTTCGCAAATGATATCATATTCTGCCCACGAGAGAAGCCAATGAGCCAGCCTATCGAAGAGGCCCGGTCTTGTAAGCTGTGAGCATCCCTTCGATACACATTGACGTTTTGTTGGAGAGATGTGAGCATCCCTTTGAATGGAAGAACACATTCAAGCCAATGTCTATTGCTTTTTTCTCTGAAGCGGCGAACATAAACCAAGATATCTTCTCCTTGTCGCCGTGTCTCTCTTATGAGGTGGAGAGTAGTTAATTTTTCTTCGACATAAAAGAACTTAATATAAAACTTCTTCACCAAGTCTTCCCACGAAGATGGAACCAACGGCGAGGTTGGCATACCAAGAAAATGCTTGGTCTGTGAGGGATTTGGTGAACTCTCTCATGCAGAGCTCGGTCTGTGAGGGATTTGGAGAACTCTCTCATGCAAAGATTTCAGTCTTCTTGGAGAGCACCAAAAGCATCAAGAAAGCACGAAACGTGCTCCCTAGCATTCCCCTTTCGTCCGTCAAAACAGACAAACTTGGGTGCAGTATACCCTACCAAATATGGGAGACTTGCAATGTGAATAAGTTAAGGATGACGGAGGTCTAGTTCTAGAGAAGCAAGGATGTGACCTTTGTTTGTCTGAAGTAGACTGTATATGTGTTCTTTCACCACGTCCAATGTCAATGGTTGGGCTGAAGGAGTCTGGTCTCGCAGAAGAATCGGAGAGTAAGATGAAGCCACTGCGGTGGGAGTTCCACCGACCGAACCAACTTGTTGTGGAGGTACTTGGCTTGGAGCCGATGGAGGGAGCGGGGCGACTGTTTGTCCTCCCGCTTGGTTTTGCAAGTTGTTTTGTGTAGTGGGGTTAGCCTCTAAGCCATTTTGAGCTGATGGTTGAACGCCATTCTATGATGAAGAACGAGGGTTAGATGATGATGGAGTGTAGATGCCCTTTGTAAGGCTAGTAGGGCGTCCATCAAGGGTTGCTAGTTTTGTTGGTGACACTCTTAGTCAATACACGTAGCTGCTCCGCTATGGCCAGTTGAGAGGATTGTTCCTCCGGAAAGCCGTTGGGGTTGTGTTCTGATGTCTCCACCAGAGTCTCCCTACCGCCACCTTAGGATGTCGATGTGCCGGTTCCGAAGTTCTTTTTGAGTGCCATGTGAAGTGAGCACCACTCTTCCCCAGTGGAGTATATTGTGGGAAACGGAGATTAGAGGCGATGGGTCGTTGACCTCTGGGAAGATGGTGGACACTTCAATGGCCTGAAATCACCGGAGGTGGAAAAGGAGAAGACCAAGGTAGGCTTAGAAAGGAAAGGGGCGGCAATGAGAGACCTTGAACACTTGTTATGTGATTCTTGTTGCTCTTGTTATGTCATTGTAGTTGCACTTATGATGTGGTTATATAGACTTCAAGAGTATTGGAGCCCAAGCAACCTCAAGGCAGGTAACGAGTTCTTCTCAACTCGATAGGAGGGTGATATTAGCCCTACTAGTTGTGTCCTATGATTCAGGTTCTTGGAAAGGTTGCATCATAAGAGCTGCAGCTGTAGGTATGATATCTTGAGAGGCATATCATATGTGCATCAGATGTAAATATAAGATCAACGTCCCTTTCTCTAAGCCAGGTCAAAGGGGGAGCTGTCACTGCAGGGAGACAGCTACACGACCTTGACGATCCCAAGGTCTTAGCCTCCAATCGACAATCCTCCAATGATCCCAAGCGGGAGTGCCTAGGTCCTGCTCCTAACCTAGGCAACCAAGAGGGTGAGTGCATGGGTGAGCCAAGGGCTCACCTTGAGCAGCCCAGTAAACATAGGTGAACCAAACATAGATGAGCCAAGAGTCCAACTATGTTGCTATGGAGCTGGGGTGAGTGGGTAGAGAATGTATTTCTTGAATTATGAAGGGCCATGGAGAGCTTTAGGTGAGCTAGCTCTATCAAAGTGAGTTGTGGCCTTGTTTTCATACTGGGTGGTGTGCATGCCCTCACTTAGGCTAGGCATACAACCCCAACTCATCGTGGTGCCTCAGGGGTCTGCCACGTGGATGTGATGGTGATAACGTGACGCCCGTAGGGCTCGCCACATGCCAAGCATAATATAGATACCCACAAGAAGCATGGGTCATTCTCTATTGACTAAAGAAAACATCATTTGGGTAATTGTGAGTTTCATCTTCATCTTTATTTCAATCAGATTGGAATAAAATCAAACCCATACCCAAGTTTCGATAGTTGATAGCATTTTTTTAAATGAATACAGATCTGAGTTTGCCTATAAATATAGATATTATATCTTGAGAGAGAGAGAGTTGTGAGGAGAGAAGGATGGAGAGAGGGCCTACCATATAGAAGCAACAGCAGAATGAGAGTAGCGAAGACAAATCCAGATCTTAACTTGTTTCATCTTAGCCGGAGAAGTCCTGTCGCCATCGCCAACGGACTCACAAATGGTGACGTTAGATCTAGCATATTGCAGCCTATAGGTAAACCATTTAATCGGATCGGATAAATAATTGGATCAGATCGGATTTATCTAAATCTGTTTCGTTTAAATTCAAATTATGTGGATTCGGATTAAGCAAGTAATCAAATTCAGATTTACATAAATGGATCGAATTCCATTCCGTCGCAAATACTTCTGTGTTGTTTACCCCTTTTCTAGTAGTGAATGAACAATTAAAAGGAAAACTAACCATTAAATTGCACATAAAAAAAATAGTATTTAATTGAATAAGTAAAATCCACATTGTAATGAGAAGCAAAACATACCTTATTTTCTTTTTTCCGACTCCACACATGCCATCAAAACTTCCATGTAAGCCTGTTTTTTTACAATGAAAGACATGAAAGCATTTTACTCGTTTCCAAACTTTAGAAACTACTAAGAAAATTAGACACCAACACTTCTAGAATCTTGTGTTCATAAATATATGCTAATAACAAAATAAAGGGAAAAACAGTAAATCAAATAATGAACCTAAATCTAGACCAAGATGAATTGAAGAACACAATGCATGCCCCTAAGGAGTAATGACAATGAAGTAGAACCATTACCTGAAGATTGAGGGGGCATATCTCTCAGCCCTTTGAGTCCCAACCCTTTAAAATGATCAAACCAATGTAATGAACAATGAATTCACAGGTAACTCAACTGCTCTAGTCTGTGTTTAAACAAGAACTCCCAAGTCAGACCAACCTACCACCAGTCAACCACTTATCAGTCAAAAATTAAAACACAGCAACATATAAAAAAAAAGTTTCATCAATCCATAAATTATGTTTTACAGGAATTTCATCTCAGATCTGTTTATATCCATGAAAAGCATTTTAAAATGGAATTAATTTTGTAATTTCTCATCTCAGGTCTATTAGTTTCGATGAAAAGTATTTTGATAGAAAATTAACTTTCTAATTTGGAAGAACCAAAATCGCATTGATAAAGTTCTAGATTGTCAAATATCCTTCCTTTTATTGGGAATTTTTTTTTGAACTAATCAGGTAAAAATATATTTCCATCATTTTGCCAACAAAAAATAATGAGGTACACCAGATAAGCTTAATTTAAACATATTTTTATCCCACAGACTCAACACATGGGGTAAAGGATCTCAATCTACAAAGTGATAGCAAATAATTAAGTACTTAAAACAAATTGTAAATAAGATTCTTTGTTTAGTGGTTAAAACCTTAGCACACTAACCTTCAAGTGATGGATTCAAGTATGAGGACAGCCATTTTGTGCATTTATGCCAAAGGTTCAATATATACCCAATCTAACTCCTCCCAAACACCTATTAATGGGTAATTTGTTGGTGTAATTGTATTTATTATTTTTATCCCACAGACTCAACACATGGGGTAAAGGATCTCAATCTATAAAGTGATAGCAAATAATTAAGTACTTAAAACAAATTGTAAATAAGATTCTTTGTTTAGTGGTTAAAACCTTAGCATACTAACCTTCAAGTTATGGATTCAAGTATAAGGACAGCCATTTTGTGCATTTATGCCAAAGGTTCAATATATACCCAATCTAACTCCTCCCAAACACCTATTAATGGGTAATTTGTTGGTGTAATTGTATTTATTTATTTATTTTTTTTTTTTTTACAGAAAATGAATGAACTAACATAACCAACAATTGAAAGGGACTTCCTCTCACTCAGACCGCAACTCTCCAACATCTACCTTTCACACCCTCTCCCTCTTATAATAAATTACATCATTTTAAATTGCAATATCATGTATCCTAGAACAATTGCATTTAGGGTGGAAAAAAAATGCAACATCCAATAATATGAACAGTTAGTAAAACTATGAATCTTTTATTTTCTTAGCAAACCCCTAGGAACTTGATCCACTTGTTTTACGGCTGGTTTGCTTTTTTCATCAATGTTTATGAAAATTTTAGTGATGATATGCTAATAATGTTGAATTATCTAATAGTTTTTAAAATGAGGATGGTAGGCAAAAATTTCAAAAACAATTCTCCAAACAAATTTTTTGTATCAATTTCCAATTTTTTCTGTTTTCAGCAAGTCAATAGATTTCAAAAACCAAACAATTTCAAAAAAATAGTATGATTTTTTAGTGATGCAAATGATAAGGATATAAAGAAGTCTAAAAAGCACATACACACAACATGTGACCTGAATACATCGATCTTCAAAAAATGCAAGACACAACACAACTGGGGACATTACCAAAGAAAAATATTTTCATATATTTTGATATGTCATATATATATATATATATGAATATTTTATTCAAATATAATAAAAAATGCAACATAACACATTAAAAATCAAAAAAGTATATATTTTATGCATTAAAAAAAATGTCATTCAAAGAACAACTACATACCACCAAAAAGTGATCCATAAATTAAACCAAGGTATTAAACTACAATTACAATATATCAACCATCGTCTAACACAAAGGATTCATGAAAAGGGTTGGTTAGGGAAGTGGCTTTGGTTTAAAATATGAGATGAAAAAAATTGAGTTGTTTGGAAATGGCTTTTTGACTTTTTATGGAAAAAAAAAAAATAAGTACAAAAAAGTAGAGAGAAGGGAAGGAATGTTTGACATTTTTTATATGGCGTTTTGGCTAAAATCCTAACTTACCAAACATCCCCTAAACCCCTAAAAATTACTTTCACATAAATTGTGTTAACAGGATAGACTGTAAATTGTGGAGATGGTGGTCGGCAGAGGGGGTCTCAAAAACCAAACAATTTCAAAAAAATAGTATGATTTTTTAGTGATGCAAATGATAAGGATATAAAGAAGTCTAAAAAGCACATACACACAATATGTGACCTGAATACATCGATCTTCAAAAAATGAAAGACACAACACAACTGGGGACATTACCAAAGAAAAATATTTTCATATATTTTGATATGTCATATATATATATATATATATATGAATATTTTATTCAAATATAATAAAAAGTGCAACATAACACATTAAAAATCAAAAAAGTATATATTTTATGTCTTAAAAAAATGTCATTCAAAGAACAACTACATACCACCAAAAAGTGATCCATAAATTAAACCAAGGTATTAAACTACAATTACAATATATCAACCATCGTCTAACACAAAGGATTCATGAACAGGGTTGGTTAGGGAAGTGGCTTTTGGTTAAAATATGAGATGAAAAAAATTGAGTTGTTTGGAAATGGCTTTTTGACTTTTTATGGAAAAAAAAAAAATAAGTACAAAAAAGTAGAGAGAAGGGAAGGAATGTTTGACATTTTTTATATGGCGTTTTGGCTAAAATCCTAACTTACCAAACATCCCCTAAACCCCTAAAAATTACTTTCACATAAATTGTGTTAACAGGATAGACTGTAAATTGTGGAGATGGTGGTCGGCAGAGGGGGTCGTGGAGTATATATACACTACACAATCATACACTCATAAGAATTATAAAAAAATTACTTTTTATTTTTATTCGAGTAGAACAGAGTTACTTTTGGTTCAGGTAATGTAACAGTTCACAATATGATATATCGCTTCCACAATAATTGCCCACCACATTGGTAGCATTCTGGGTGGTTGATAATTGAAGTTAGAGAACAAAGCTTTAATGGTTTTTAGTAGCAGAAACCCAATTTTCTTCGTGTTTTCTGCAATTGGGCATAAGTAGGATTTTTTTTTTCCATATTTAACCCTAAAACTCCATCCGGATGGGATGATTTAGCGTGAAATGATGAGAAAGTGAACTCTTTTTTCATGCTTGGTTTATAAGTTGAGTGCCAAATTGTGAGAAATTTTGAAAAATAGAATGGTCTTCCTCAGCCTATTTCATTTCTCCTTGTGAGATTTGGCAAAAAAACAAATTGATTGATTATGAAATATTTATAATATCAAGATTACCTCTAAAAATACAAAGTAAAAAAAAAATCTCACTCACATTTGGTTTACTTTCTCACCCATCCAAACATAATAATGAGAAAACACAATACAATTTTTTTTTTTTTTCCCATTGTCACCCTCCGATCCAAACGAAGGATAACCCAATCGTTAGGGTTTTAATGATGACAAAACGGAAGAAAAGAATAACCAAATTTCTTTAACTGTTGACAAATAATATAAGCTGGGGGTTTACGGTGGGATGGTTCGGCAAAGAGAGTAGTGAGTGGAGTTACCTGCTTCGGGCTATGGTGACTGCTTTGGCTATTCTCCTTCTCCACACACACACACACGCACACTCTCTTTCTCTCTCTCCCTCTCTCAAGATGCTTCTAGGACTTTGTTCGAACAGATTACACCCCATTAAGGACAGATCATTTGAAAAAAAAAACTTTAGGGGGTGTGTATTTGTAATTTATTAAATTTAAATTTTATTTAGATAAATTATACTCACATCCCTCAAGATTTAAGAAAAAAAAATACTATTAATCTTATATTTTTAACATAATTATACCCTCTCGAGATTTTAATTCATATAATATTTAGTTTATTTTTCATCAATATTTCATGAGTTATATGGATGAAAAAATATTATTGTAACTTTACTAAAATGTACCTTTATTTATTCATGTGTCTATTCATAGGAAATTCTTAGTGTATTTGGTTTGCTTTTGGAAGATAAATTTTCAAAAAAAAAATTTGAGGAGAGAGTTTAGAAATTTTTTTGGTTTGTTTGATTGTATATTTTGAAAATAGTTTTGGAGTATAGGAGTTTGGGATGATTTGATATTTTGTTATAGTTAAATAGATGTGTGCGAGAAAAAAATAATTAAGAAAGAGAGAAGAGAGAGAAAAAGTGATCGATTGATGTGTAGGAAAGAGAATGTGATTTTGGACATATTTTTCCAAAATCACTAAACCAAACAAAAATTTGAAATTTTTTTCCAAAATTACTCTCTCAAAAACAAACCAAACAAGGCCTCTATTTCCACACACCACATTGTCTCTGTGCACATCCTTTCTCACTCCACTCACTTAGTAATTTGATTCTTAGGCATTTATCTCAGTCCACACACCCCACATTCCAAATATACCCATTTAATCAAAAATGTGTGCACACCCTCATATTAGCCCACACAAATATTCGTGGTCATCTTGCTACACGGGCAGAGCCTACCATGATTGATGACCCTGTACCTGATTTGCTGTAAATTGACTAGTGTAGTCCAATACACAATCAGATTAATCCTCACTTGCTTAAGTAGATATTTTCTACCAAAAAAAATAATAAATAAATAAGTAAAGCTCAAAACTTCAGAGCTGAATATTTTAACATATTTCAGAAGTTGGAATTCGAATTATTTAATATATTTTGAAAGTAAAGTTCTGAATGGTTTAATATATTTCAGGAGCTGAGTTCCGAATTATATTTCGAAAGTTGAGTTTCGAAGAAATTAATTTTGTTTGATCGTTGTTTTTCATGTACTGACTATGTATTCGGCACTAGTTTGCCGAATGGTGATCGCGAATAGAAATTAAGTAAAAATATTTCTTAGCAAAAAAAAGTTACATTTTCGTCGTTGCATTGGTTGTTTTGCACATCCTCCTGATTTTCTGAATTGTTTGGAAAATCTTCCATCAAGTTTTGTTTGACAAACAATGGTAACCTAATTAGTGAACAATAGAAGAATGTTAGCAATGAAGTCTAGTGTGTGAGAAATAATGGAAGAAGAAGGTAGGCAATGGAGTATATGAGAAAGAACGAAGGAAAAAGGTAGGCAATAAAATGTGAGAAAGAGTGAAGGAAGAATATAGTAATGAAGAGTGTGAAAAAGAGTGAAGTATGTGAGAGTGAGTGTCAATAACATAGGTAATGGGACAGTGGATGTGCACAGAGAGCTTTTACAAGAAAAAAATGTGCATAGAGATCTCTATTTTGGATCTTTAAGTATGCGGATGAATGTCTATTTTGGTCATTTTATTTAAAGGTAAATTTGTAATAAAAATAAAGTTCATTAAGTGTATGGACAGAGATAATGTGGTGGGTGGAAATAGAATTTTCCTCTACTCATCACCTACATTAATTTTGATTGCTTAAAGCTTATTAAATGAAAGATTAATCACTATGTTTGGTTTGAGTTTTCTGAATTAAGTTTTTTGAAAATTGACTTTTTTGGTTTTTGTGTTTTTTTTGTTTTTAGTGAATATTTTTTAAATTTAAACATTTTTTTTTTTACTTTTTTAGATGCACATTACTTAGATGTATCTAAAAAGTAAAAAATTTGTGAAAAAATATTTTAAAAAATTAATAAATACATAAAAATACAAAAAATGTACTGAATTCTTGTATTTTTTTGTATTTTTGGTATTTAGTGATTTTTTAAAAGATTTTTTTTACAATTTTTTTACTTTTTAGGTGTATTTATGTTAGGTGTGTCTAAAAAGTAAAAAAAATTGCTTAAAATATTAAAAAAATTTAGTAAAAACAAAAAAACACAGAAAATAAGAAAGTAGAATTTTCTGAAAAGTGTTTTGGAAAACTGGAAACCAAGCAAGGTAAATGTAATTATGTTAACTTATGATGCTAATTAAATTTTTGACAAACTTCAAAACACGAGTGTAATTTACCCATGTTATTTTTGGATAAATTACAAATATACTGCCATGAGGTTTTGCTTAAAAGGAAATTTAATTAAAACCCTTCCATTGGACTACTATTTGGTGAAAAAGACAACCTAATTTATTTTATTTCATAAACCCCCTAAGGAGGATGTGTATAATTGAGTATGGACAGAGTAATTTTTTTTTTCTTAGACAATGTTGCCTATGCATATATATATATATATATCGCAGAACTCTTTTGAATGGGAACACTTTTGTTTTATTTTATACAAGTTTTAAAATGTTGTGTGTGTGTATTTTTGGTTGGTTCATCTAGTATGTGCTTTGTTTTTTGCAACAGTAAAATATTACTGTAAAGCAGAGTAACATGTTACTGTTAAATAAAATAGCATGTTACTGTTTATGTCAATTTTCGACGGTATTTTTTTATTATATTTTTTATGTTTTAAGAATTTCATAGTCAATATGAATCTTATTTGATAGATCTTGGTGAGAGAATTTTTAAAATATTAATTTATTAAAAATTGACATCTAAATCAAAAGTTATATTATTTTAAAGTTTAAAATATAAAATTACTCACTAAATATATTTTGTTAATAGTAGTATGTGTTGAACATTCCAATAAAAACTTTTTGTGCTTAACCTTAATATATTAAAGTTTTATTATAAGGGGACTTTGACCAAATCCCCCTTGCTTAAAATACAAATTATCCTTTGTGATTTGAAAAATTACAAATACCCGTTGTTATAATTTTTTATTTAACAAAATCAAATGAAAATAAAATGAACTTGCTAACTGCTTTTTATATAATAATAAACCAGAGTAACATGTTACTGTTAAATAAAATAGCATGTTACTGTTTATGTCAATTTTCGACGGTTTTTTTTTATTATATTTTTTATGTTTTAAGAATTTCATAGTCAATATGAATCTTATTTGATAGATCTTGATGAGAGAAATTTTAAAATATTAATTTATTAAAAATTGACATCCAAATCAAAAGTTATATTATTTTAAAGTTTAAAATATTAAATTACTCACTAAATATATTTTGTTAATAGTAGTACGTGTTGGACATTCCAATAAAAAACTTTTTGTGCTTAACTTTAATATATTAAAGTTTTATTATAAGGGGACTTTGACCAAATCCCCCTTGCTTAAAATACAAATTATCCTTTGTGATTTGAAAAATTACAAATACCCGTTGTTATAATTTTTTATTTAACAAAATCAAATGAAAATAAAATGAACTTGCTAACTGCTTTTTATATAATAATAAAATTATCTGAATTATTAGTTGAAATATATTTACAACATTATTAAAATTGTTAATTGACTTGATAATTTATTAATAAAATTAGTTATTTGTTACGAAATTAGAAATTTCAAAGGACAAAATGTAATTTTTAGAATTATAGGAGACAATTTATATTTTAAGCAAATCTCAGAAGATAATATCAATTAAATTTAGAGGTGTTTTGGAAAGTGGTTTTTTTTTAGTGATGTTTTGCTAAAATATAATGTGAGAAAATTAAAGTGATGATTTTTTTGATTTTTTATAATTAAAAAAAAAGTGCAAAGAGACGAAGAATAAGAAAGAATTTTGACTTTCCTTTTTTAAATACATTTTTTACCTTTTAACTTTTTTTTAATAAGTTTTTGATTTTTTTTTACTAATTTAACTTATTACCAAACTATATCACCAAACAGGGATAGGCTCCCTCCAATACGTTATCTCTCCATACTCTCCATATTCTTTTTATAGGGCTTAATTCTAAACTCACACCAATGATTCGAATCGTCTACTTTGTTGATGTAACACCCCGAAATAAATAACAATAATCTAACTAATAACATTTCTTACAAATGATCAACAATATACCTTTTATCCCATTCATAACATTGATCAATACAAAAGATGATATATGCAATATACATTCATAAAACCCTAGATTTTGATTCTATAGCATGTGACATAGATACATGAAACAAGGCAAAAGCAAAACCAAATAATTATATGCTCTAATGGCAACAACTTTCCAAGTCAATGCTGGGGTACAACAAAATGAGTTTAACTCAATACAGGTAAAGCCTGTAACGCCCTAGAAAAACACCTCCCAAATCCTGTTCTCCTATCTCAATCCACATAGATACAAACAGTAGATAAAGAAATAATAATTAAATTCCATAACACTTCTTTCCATTGAACTATTCTCAAGAATTTCCATACAGTCAGTTTACATCCATGGTTAAAATGAAACAGTTCAAAAGCTAAGAAGTTATGCAAAATAGAGAAATTAAAAAGGGACAACACTCTATCGAAAGTGTCCATGATTTCAACACAAAACATCAAACAAGTGATTATTCATGCTTCGTCCAAATTGCTTTCCATAGTAAATCATTTAGGTGGCTCGTCAATTTCATTTCTTGAAAATGGTTAGTTTTTGGGGTGAGCGAATGCTCAGTAGGAAGTATATTTAACATATTATATAATTAATTGAAATACACATGATCATGCTATGCAAGTATAGAAATTATGTTAAAGTAAATATTCTTTATAAGTTTAAATGACCATACAGGATATTCGGTAATCATTCTTCTAAAAGTAGGGGTGGTAAATATACTATGACATCCCAAGTAAGAGCCATAATTCAAAATACATACATAAATATAGATTTTGTATACTGAAAATAGTCCCACATTTGCCGACTCCAGACATGGTGGGGCAATGGGCACCCAAAAACCTTTT